AGCGACTGGCAGCAAAAACTGAGGCCCCAAAGGGGTAAGAATATATGGAAAAGAACTCAATTAAACTTCAACAAAAGAACAAATAAATAAAAAGTAAATTATAAATAAATATAACAAATTAAAAATAAATGCAAAAGTAGATTAAAATGAATAAATAAAACAAAGGAAATGAACGACAATGATAAATAAAAATTAAGAGTGAAGAAGTAAGGGCAATAAATAAACAAAAAGCAAACTGTATACAAAACTGAAACATAAAATTTCTAATAATAATAAATAAATATAAATGAATATAAATAAATAAATAAATAAGAATAAATAAATAAAACTCACTTCGATTTGCAGCTCCTCTCCCGCTAGCTGCTGCAGCTCTGCTGCTGCTGCTGCACCCAGCACCTGCTGCACTCGGCTCAGCAGCAAACCCTCAGAGGAGCAGCCAAACAAAGGGCGGCCCAGCACAAGCTCCGCTGCAGCAGCAGCAGCAGCAGCAGCAGCAGGGCGGGGTTAACTGCCGACTGCATGCGAAGGAACAGCAGCAGCACCACCACCACCAGGACTAGCAGCAGCAACCGCCTTCTGCGCAGCAGCAGCAGCAGCAGCGCGAAAAGCAGAAGCAGCAGCCTCCCCTTCAGCAGCAGCAGCAGCAGCAGCTACCTGCGACAGCAGCAGCACTCCAGACATCAATTTGCTGCCCATAGTCCGTTTTGCCCAGCAGCAGCTCCGGCGCTCTGTAAAGCTTTGTGACAACATCTGCTGTTTGCTGCTGCTGCTGCTGCAGCCGGAAGCAGCAAAGCCCGAAGTCCCCCAGCCGAACGACCCTGCAGCAGCAAACCCTAAATCAGGGTTTAGGATTTAGGGTCTGCTGCGGCTTCGCTGGGGCTTTGGGCTAGCGCCAGCCAGCTTTTAGGGTTTAAGGTTTAGGGTTTACCAGAAATTATCTCCAGGGCCAGTCCTGCGGCTCAGGGTCACTAGGGTTTAGGGTTTAGGGTTTAGGGTTTGCGGACCACCTCAGTTTGCCAGTTTCTGCTTCTCTCTCTTTCGTCAAAAATATATTTTGCGGCTTTACATCTCGGTGCAGCAAACCGCGCGAGTGGCAGTGAGCCAAGGCCTGCATCAGCTGCAGCAGCAGCAGCAGCAGCAGCAGCAGCAGCGGTGGCGAAACAGCTGCTGTGGCCCACTCAGAAGAGGAGGGGTCGTGACTAGGGTTTAGGGTTTAGGGTTTAGGGTTTAGGGTTTGTTACTTGGTAGACAATAAGCCTCGCGTCTTCTTCCGAGAACCCCGGAAGAGGCGCCTCCTCGTGCACCCGCTGCTGCTGCTGCTGCTGCTGCTGCTGCTGCTGCTGCATTCTCTTGATGTAAGTCTGGTATTTGTGCTGCTGCTGGGCGATGGCTTTTGCTGCATCTTCATCGCAGAGTTCTGTTATCAAATAAAAGGTGGGCCGCAGCCGCTTCCGCTTCCGG